AAAGAACTAGTACTGAACTAGAAATTTGGTTCACTAGTTCGTGTTTTCCATACAGGGTTTGTTAAAAAGACAACCCGTTTGTTATAATAATTTTAATTATTGGAATCACGGACGAATAAAGTCTCAAATCTGCTTAGTTCCCGCTGTTAGCTGTAAGCTGAGCTCGACTTTTTCTAGTTGCAGGCAGTCACAATTAAATCAAATCCGTTTTGTTGTTCCAATCCATGCGCTCAATGTGATTTGATATTTTGACCCGAATGAACTGAAATTTTCAACATATCGTTAATATAATATGGAAATCGCGTATTTCACATTGTCGCTGAAATGTTTGTTTCTATTACATAAAACGATGTGGGGACTTATGATTCGATGAAATCCATTATAATCAATCAAAAATTGAATTTTGGGTTTTTAGTTCGTTGCGGCTTTTTGTATTGCAACGAAGATGTGAGTTACGCCCTTTCCATAGTATACTAACGATACATTGCATGCCAAATCCTACTCCTCAATAGATATTAAATACGCCTTGAATTAATTCTTATCTGATTTGTGAACTTGGCCGTCAACATATTCACATATCATTTTATCCTTATTTCGATGCGTGCTAATTTTGATAATTATCACAAAATTAAATATAAATGTTGTTGTTTTCGAGCTGAAAGACTAATAAAAGGAAACACGGAACTTAATCATAATAAGTTTAATGAGAACAACTAATAATTCAGCTTATCTAAGAAAAAGTAGAAACAAAACTAGCTATGCATCCAGTTTTGTCAACAGACCTTTGACAAATAATATTCGATAATTACATAATTCTTGCCTAATTAAAGGTTACCTCTTAATACGCAAATAGTCGGTTCTCTTTATAGCCAGACGTTGAACATTTCCGCTGGAAAAACCTATTAAAGAATCTTACTCTTTGACTACATTAAATTACAAAAGAAGGGGACGTAAGCGGGCAGTTTAAACGTAGCATCTCCACCGGCAAACAAGTTTGGCTACAATTTGTCATTTTGTTTGCCACATATACGTTTAATCGGTGCACTTGCACAATATTTGCATTCGCAAAAGCTTCGTATTGATTATTTCCAATGCGAAAGCGAATGCGAATGTTAAAATTAATGCGGAAGCTCTGCTGTTGCGAATGCGAATGCGTATATTCGCAACAACCCTGGTCTGTATGTATGCTTGTACGCGCATCACTCGAAAGCTAATGCATGGAATCGAATGAAGTTTCAACCGATGTATACATATTGCTAGAGGTCCAACTTAAAAAATAAAAAATAAAATTGGAGTTGTCACCTGCTTGAAAATTGCAGTTTAAGTAAATAAAAACAATAAAGTAAATTCTGCAATGTGGCTGCAAAAGAAAGAGATTTTCGAAGGCTTACAGCTGAAAATATTTTTGTGAAAGGTTGCCGCCTGTTTGAATATTTTAGTTGAATATTGCACTTACAGCCAATTTTCTGAAATCCATTTAAGAAAAAAAAGATTTTAAGTTTTAGAATATTATATGGAAATTAATAGAAAATAAGAAATCATTTTCCATTTAAATTGTTGGTGAAACGGGCGGTTAAGAGGCTTACGAAAGTGTACTGCCGAAAATATTTTTTGCGGGGGTTGCCACCTGTTTGGAAAAAGTTAATTATTTAAATTGACAAAATAAAAGAAAATACTTTTCAAGCGTCTTGCCGCCTACATATGTATGTATTTGAAAAATGTGCTCATATGAAGAAAGTGCGATATGTACACTCGAGTTATAAGATTAAAAATTAAATTTCTAGGAGAAAGTCGATACTTTACCTACTTTCTAAGTACTTTCGAAAACATATTAGCGAACACCCGCATTCATAAAAAAATAATGAATGCTTCATAAATCGGAAATTTGTTTAAAATTTTACGTAATTGTAAGGCAGTCAGGGTTGCAGGAGTAGCTTTGTGTAAACGGCCTTAAGCAATATTGTAATAGTTCTTAAGTAATGTGTTTAGCACTTAAGTAATGCAACTAGTTTTTAAGCTATGTGTTTCAACCTTAAGTGGAAATTGTATGGAAAGAACTGGAAAGGAAGAAAAAGAACTTTATTTAAAAAGAAGAAGAATAAAATTAATTCGAAAACAGCATCAACAGCGTGTGGACGTATTATTTTTTTTATTTTCGAGCTAAGCCGAATTTATTGGTATTGGAGAGCAACCCAAACCAAAGCGCGGATACCGAAGCTAATAATCAAAGGCGAGTATATTGGGCCAACTTTAATCTAAGAACCGGGCGTTTTCATAATAAAGATTTTTAAATCTATTTTATTTTTTATGAATAAAGCCATATGATTTTTGGGAGGGAGTAAAAACACAAACAAAATTTAAGGCGCAGTGAAACATGGAGGATATTAGCTAGTATATAATATTAAAAGAAATTTCTCCTTTCATGCTTAATTCTCTTTAAGTTTACAAAAAGGAAGAAAAAAGGCTGCTGTTCAGAAACCACACAGACAGTTGTACTAAGGGTCCTTATTTCCTAGCAATGATTCTGCTAATAATCAGCCGATTACTTGAGAGCAGCCAACACGGTTCTTCTGCAAACTTTTAAAACAGTTGCCATCCTTCATTTTCTATCGGTTATATTCTAAGCAGCAGCCAAACAAACTTTGAGACTGACACAAATTGAAAGAGTGGAACCTTAAGATTTTATTTACATTTTTCTTACATAATAATTCATCTGTGTCGGCTTCTTTTTGTTGTTGCAAAAATCTGCCCTTCCTTAGCTCTCTGAACATTTTCATTCAATTCATTCAATCAATTCTAAATCTATAAGCATGTCAAGCGGTCAGCAGGAGTTTGGCCTGAATTAAGCGTCCTACACTTAACTTTTAACTCGGTCACTCAAGCAAACTAAATGCCGCCCTCACGTGTTCAGATCACATCAACGACCACAAAGTCAATATAGAAATTTACATGTAAATATGTAACTCGAACACCGAAGTGTCCATATCAATTACTAGTACCTACCTAATGCATACATATAAGTAACAAAATTTTGGACATACAAAATTCGTATCTATGTATGTATAACTATGTATGCACTCGTACACACATGCGGGCGCTTTTTGATATTAGTATCAGAACTTCAACCGCCTCTGACAGCCCCACTTTGCTTAACCTGGGCGCATTTTGTTTACTCTCCATTAGCACAATTTATGCAAATTTATACGTGCTTTCGCACTTGTTTATCACCAACCACATATGAGTGTATCTGTGTGTCTCCCCATATCTATAGTATTTAAGTATGTACTGCACAATAAGAAAAAATCAAAATTCTAAATTCGTTTGATTACCCTAAGTTAACAGAGAAATTTGCATTTGTTTGCTTTTAACTTACCGATGAAGGTATCGACTTTTCTTACCGACAGATTAAAAGGGAAAGAGTTTACGTGCGAGGGCACATGTGTACGCGTAGGTACATAAGTACCCTGCAGGAAATGGAGTTAGTTTGTAGCTAATCTATCTGGTCGTTGTAACCTATTCCGACTTATTTCCTTGGATCCTAACTAACTACTTTTGAAGAGCGATGACCGCAAGAAAGTGGGAACTGGTTTCCTTAGCACTAGGGTTCGATTTATTTGAGACTAAAGAATTTTGGACATAAAATATCAATAAGAAAAAATCAACGTTATTTTTTAAATTTTTTACATCTTATCTTATTTTATTATATTAAACCCATGCAGTTAAAGTCTCATTGTAGCAAAGACTTTTCTTTAATTGAAACGTACGGTTTATAAAGCTCTACATCATCTGAATACGTTTTGGAAGATTTTGACGCAGAATACGTCTTACGTTTCGATTGGATTATTTTGGGGTCAATTTCGAGCCTTTAAAGTGATCCAGCAGCTTATGATTAGCAGATATAACTTTCATTCAGAGATATATTCTATGGAGCAATAGAAATATTATCGTGTACAGATTTTATATAAATTCAACAAATATTGAGCATTTTAAGACAAAAAATTGTTGAAAAAGTTTGCAATTTTTTTTTTTATTATCAATTATTTATTATTATTTTTATTTCGTTTGGTATATGGGTAGTATTGGTTGACATCTTCTAAGTATGTTTATTTTATTCAAATATATGTGCAACGCTTTTCCATACAAAATAATTTCGTCATCATTTTGCAAACGCGTGCATGTGTAAAAACAGATAGGCTGCTGCCAGAGACAAAAGGAGACTAAAACCAGATTTCGCAGGTGGAAATATATATAAGCCGATCGCAGCATATTTTGGACCTACCTACATATGTATGTACATCCATATACTACATATACACAAAGCTTTTTTGTCATATCATCAGATCTGTACCGTTAGTTCGATTTTAAAAAATAAGGTAGATTTGTTGAAAAGGGTTGCCACCTGATAAATAATTTATTACACATTCTTTGTAAGTTAAATCAATTATTACAGTATGGGTGCGATGGTTTTGAAAAGGCTTTATTTCATCAGTATATGTAAGAGGGTTGCCACCTATTTAATTAGATATTTTAAATATGTATCGCAATGCGGGTGTCACATAAAAAAGGATTAAAAAAGGTTTTAGTTGAAATTATTTTATTTCTAAATCACTTGCGGGAGCGTTGCCACCCGCTTCCAAAGTAAAGTTCAAACTTAAATTAAGGCGATTCGAAAATTGAAATATGTATCCCGATATGAGCCATGAGAGAGTTGCCAGCTCTTTACAAGGTTAAATTCAATGCAATGAGTTACTTACATATGAATATGATTCGAAACTGCTTTGAAGATATTTTATTTCTAAACTACATGTAAGAGGGTTCCACCTTTTCTACATTTTATCTTGAATTGAGGGATTCAGAAGATATAAATATACATCACAATATGGGTATCAGACGTCTTAGTTTGAAAATAATTTGAATAATTTTANCAGGTTTTAGTTGAAATTATTTTAAGCACGGTTGCCACCTGTTTATAAATTTAAATTCAATATATCTAATAGGTTAAAAGAATTACTACGAAATTAATATCAATTAAAATGGCATTGAAGGAACTTTATTTCTAAATCGCTTGCGGGAGCGTTGCCACCCGCTTCCAAAGTAAAGTTCAAACGTAAATTAAGGCGATTCGAAAATTGAAATATGTATCCCGATATGAGCCATGAGAGAGCTGCCAGCTCTTTACAAAGTTAAATTCAATGCAATGAGTTACTTACATATGAATATGAATCGAAACTGCTTTGAAGATATTTTATTTCTAAACTACATGTAAGAGGGTTCCACCTTTTCTAAATTTTATCTTGAATTGAGGGATTCAGAAGATATAAATATACATCACAATATGGGTATCAGACGTCTTAGTTTGAAAATAATTTGAATAATTTTACACATATAACAGAGTTTCCATCCGTTTTAGAATTTAAATGCAACTTGTATTTAGAGAATTGGATAATTTAAATACGTATAATTTGGTCTCACATGAAAAGGGTTTAAGAAGATTGCAGTTGAAAGCATTTTGTGTTGAAAATATTTTAAATATTTAATATTTTGCAATCTTTAAAAAGCTGAACTTATTTAAATTATACAGTAGTTACTGTATGAAAAGTTAATATTATTATATGTATGTATTTTTAGAAAAATCGTTTATAAAAATTAAGAACAGAACCCGGCCAATGTCAATGATGTCAAAAATATTACTTTTAAACATTACCCTTTGTGATCTATCATAGAAGTATGAAGAGATCCAACTTAGAAAATTAGGTGGAAAAGATCAATTTTATAGATGAGCCACGAGTGGCATACTCTGTCAAATGATTTACCGAAGTCATTATATATAACATCCACATTTTTGTTTTCACTAAACGCTTGTGAGTTATAGGATGCTAACTCAAGTAAATTTGTTGAAGTTGAATTGCCTTTGCAACCCCATGTTGACAGTATGAAATTCTAGAAGAGATAGAATGCGTCAACTGATTGGTTATAATTGCTTCAAATGATTTAGGAATTGCAGAAATCTCAGCTATACATCGGTAGCTCTCCACTAAAGATCTGCTACCGCTTTTATGTAACGGGGTTATGAACGATTCCGTCCATACAGTTGGAAAACGCCCTCTTTAAGAGACAAACTAAATAAGATTCTTAACGGCTTATAGAGATAATCATCACAATTTGTACGAAAACAAGTAGGTACCATAACTAAGGGTCTTCTTTAAGGATTTCAAATAAACTAGTACATCATCGGGAGATATTATATATTATATTTAGTTTAAAAGGATAGTCAAAGTATGCTTGGGAGTTAATGGAATAATTGGATTTTAAAAACTGAGCGAACATGTTAGAAATTATTTTATTATCACTAGAAACGGCATTTTGATACCTTATGGTGGACGGATATCCACGTACATTGCGCTTGGAGTTTTTATAGAGAATTAACCAAGGATTACGATGGTCTTCACTATGCAAATCAACTTAAAAAAGTTCAACTCTTAATAGCTAAGTTAACTTTAGGACAATTATAACCATCATTAAGAAATGTTAAGCCCGTTTATTTATCTTCAAAACGACGTTAAGATGAAGTCTCTACGATGAGTAGAACCTGACACATAACGCTTTGAAGAAGTACATGAATGGTCAGAATCGCGAAAAATCGAACTTTGCCAGATCTCAGAAGGAATAAAATTACAGTTTACAAAACTAAAACCTCCCTATTATAATTGCCATTCGTACTGTCAACAGGTGTGTAACTTGTCAATAGAAATCGCTGTATCTTTTAGGCGAATCAGTATTACATAGTTACATCCCGAGTTAATAAAAGGAAGGTAAAAAGATCCACGAATGCACGTATATAACCCAAAATAAAATTTGAATCGAACCCGAGACATGGACAACATTTTTTTTTGACGAAAATTGTCCGACTTGAAAGAAAAGAACTACTAAGCAGCGCATCAAAACTATCTAAATTTCCGTAAATTTTAAATGAAACAATATTTCTATATTTAAAATTAAATTTTCTGGTGTTTAAGTCGACCGTTTTGATTTTGGTTGGGATGTAAAACTTTATATCGTCTTCGGAAGTGTTTCTCGAAAATACAAAGATTGACTTCTTTGGTGGAACCACAACCATTGTCCTTGTATTAGACTCGAGTACCGGCGGAAGGGGTTGAGTACTGTGTTACTAGATGATGGTAGAGTAGGCGGTCGAGGCGTTGAAGACGATGCCACCACTTCAATGGGTGAACAATAATAATCTCATTAGATGGACTATGAAGACACTTACGTTTAGACATAGGGATATCCTTAACAGATTGCCAGGTATCTAATAATTTTAAAGATTTAAACACATTTTCATAATGCTTACATTTTTATGTCAGTACTGCAATTGTCTTCTTATTTTTGTCATTTCAGTCGGCAAATACCATCACACAGCCAGCACGATAAGTAGCGTTTAGAATCGCTTTTAACTTGACAATTATCAAGATCACACTTTATATTGAAAAATTTAATAACACCTATGTTAATAAAAACGCAAATAAAATAAACTATAACAGTTTAGGAGCTGATGTATTTAGCTTTAAAATATAAGTAGCGAACAGTTTGAGTATTACTGTATTATGACATTTAATAAAACCAGCGCAAAAAGCTGTGACAGTAATTATTTACTACAAGTAAACAAAAAGAGTAAAAGAAATGTGCAAAGACAAGAACAATTTCAATTAACTGCAAAGTAATTACAACAACAATAATAGCAACAACTGACTTGGCAAGATTATATGTATTCTAGTGAAATTTAATTAAATTTAATATAAAACAAAATAACTTTCACTTAGCTTCAATTATTTTTACACCAAGATCTGCATGGGTACTTTTTATCAAAATTATAACTCAGAATTAGCACAACCGACAAATGTATTTAATAACAGCTTGATGTTAGCCTTCATATTTTTATATCATAAGATATAAGTCAAGGTTGCCAATTATTACATTACATTACAATTAATTAACATATCGAAATATGGAAACAAAATGAAAGATATTGTTGTGAACTTCAGTCTGAAAATATTTTCGATGAGGATTGCCTTGTTTTTTGTAAAAGAAATTTGTATTTTGTTAATTTTAATTAGCATTTTTATACCTTTCATGACCATGAATTGGTATTATAACTTTGGTCCGCTGTTTGTAAGTACCAGAATAAGAAGAGATAGACCCAATAAAATTTATACTTAAATTATCAGAAAGTCGAGCTTAGTCTATTTAGCCATGTCCGTCTGTCCGTCTGTTCGTCTGTTTGCATGCAATCTAGCCTCTCAGTTTTCGAGATATCCGTATGAAATTTGGTACGTGAGTGTATTTTTATTATGTATTAATCATTTATCGAAACCGGAAGAATCGGACTACTATAACATATAGCTCCCATACAACTGATTGTTCAGATATGAGATTTTTCCTCCACTTATGCAGCTAAGAGCATGAAATTGTGCACTATTGTCAATTATTATGAAAAAAATACTGACAGTGAAAATGGGGAAGATCGAGTCGCTATAACCTATAGCCTCCATACAACTGATTGTTCAGATATGAGATTTTTCCTCCACTTATGCAGCTAAGAGCATGAAATTGTGCACTATTGTCAATTATTATGAAAAAAATACTGACAGTGAAAATGGGGAAGATCGAGTCGCTATAACCTATAGCCTCCATACAACTGATTGTTCAGATATGAGATTTTTTGTTACAACTTCTCCATTTTCACTCATCATCAACAGAAAGTTTACAGTAAAATGAACAAAGATCGGGTCACCACAACCTACTTATTGCCACCATACAACTGATTGTTGAGGTATGGGGTTTTACTGTAAAACTCCTTTATTTGGACAGCTAAAACCGATAAATTTCGTAAGCTATTTTATAAATAATAATACAAAATCTACTGAGAAAATCATCAAAATCTATGCTGTAAGTATAAGCTTTATCTCCCATTCCACTGATTGTTCAAATACTAGTTTTTGCGATATATCCCCTTTATGTAGGAAGCTAAACCCATTAAATTGTGTTACCGGTTCACGTACCGGTCACACAGCAGTGAAAATTACTTAGATTGGTGCTATATAAGTTATATCTTCCCTAACTCTGGTTGTTTAGATATGATTTTTTATATATGTAACTCCTATGTATGCTGTAAATATATACATTTTTTTAAAGGCAGTAAGCTATTAAAGTAAAATTTTCAGATGTTCATTAAAGGTATGAAGCCTTCGTCAGACATAACATCCAAACGATTGTATAAAATTTCGTTTGTCCTGAATTCGAAATAGCATCTGTGAAGTGTAAAGTGAAATGTGTATTCAAAGTAATTTTTTTGTCAATATATTTAAACAGTACTTGGCTAAAGAAAAAACTCCTGACAACGGCTGCATTCCTCCTGCATGACTTTAAAACTCAACTTAGGTTAGTTTTATCATAACTAATTAAAAGGGAGGTGTTCATCGTAATTCCGCAAAATAGCGAACTTCAAAGCTGGTAATTTTTTTCAATTGATAATTTTTTACTGCAGGGTATGCGCATACATATGTGTGTGTTGGAATGGGAGAGGAGTTTGTTTTTGTTATTTGTTTATTTGATGCGTCTAATTCAAGTTTATTCTTGGTTTTCCTTTTTGAAATCAGCGGTAGTACTTGATTTCATGCAAATTGAGCGACAGCAAAACTTTGCGGTGCAGAACAAAAACATTCCCACACATATGTATGTATGTAAATGTGCTTAAAATTCAAATGTATAACGGTTGGTAAGTTTTTATATTAATGCTGTTTATATTTTGCTCCGCTTTCATATGACTTTGACTAAGTAAGTAGGGGCAAACTTTTCTTTCCTGCTCATTGATTGGAAATTGTAGGCACTTTCATTTTAATTTCTTTGATTGGTTTAAATGGGATCTTGATTGCCACGATTAGATACTGATGTATAGTCAACATTTTCTAGAGGCAATTCATTAATGAATTGAAATTGTTGCACCGTGTAACAGTACTCGTACACATGGCGCAATAAGCAGGGGACGTAACAAAATAGCTTTTCTCTGTATTATAAAAAATTGTTGAAGGTAAAATTTCAAATAAAGCATGACACGTCTTTCCTCACGCGCAATAATTCCACCATGACTCGTACTTATGATTTCTTAAAATATTTCGCAAAGACGTATGCATATGCGGTAACGATTTAAATATATGTAGGTACGAGCGAGATTTATGGGAGTTTTTCAATATTTTATTGGAACAGCAATTTAAAAAATTTTTCCCGATTATTCGGGGCTTTTCATGACTAGATGGAAATGTGGAAGGTGCTTTTTTGCAATTAAGAGATACCTACTGTTTCGATTAGAAATTTATAGCTTGCCTTCATTACAAATATACACATTTGATATGGCCTTTTTTGCCTTTTTATGGTGTTTGCCATTTGGTTTTTACCTAAGCGATTATAACCTATGCAAAATTAAAAAAAAATCTTAATAAGAAATATAATAGCCCAAATTTTAAAAATACGCGGTCTACTACCAAACTAATACAACCGTGCGTCAAAAACGAAAAAAATTCCAAAACAATCACAAAACTATGAGCCAAATATAGTAAAACTGCTTTGTTAGTTTTTATCTCTGACGACAGGATTAAAGGACCTTGAAATTTTAAAGATATGATTAATTCAAAACATTATTTAAAAAATTCGGTGCAATCTAGAATAAAAATGTGGGCACCATATAAAATAGAATTTTCTGTAAAGTAAAAAAAAGCTTTAAATTTTTTAGTTCACAAGGACAAATAGGTATTTAAAAACCTATATCATTAGAAATCATTGAGCTGAGCACACCGAGACTTTTTACTGTTTTTACTTAAAACAACAATCACAAGAGCTATCAAGGGACACAATTTTTAAAGCAAAAAATCTCGAAAACCAATTCTTGGAACCGGAAGTCGGTAATAAGACGAAAAGGTAGAGGATCCCCGTCGAGAACTTTAAATTTTTTTGTTGTCCAATAGAGACATTTTCGCATATTTTAGAAGTCCAGTACGAGTTAAAGTTCAAATATCATTTACAAGTTGAAAAAGTCCCTTCCGAAAAAAGTGTATGTATGTATTTTTATCCACATAATCTGCATCTGCAGCTCCGCCTAGGGCAGACCCCAAAACAACGCAACCTCAGCCCAAAGGTGGGGGTGGCACCTGCATTAAGGTTAAATCGGTAGGCTGCTATAGAAAAGCCCGGCAGCTAGTTCAGCTCAGCGGATCCGGATTAATATGTCCGTCCCAAGAAAAAGCAACTGGTTGTCTTCTGTTACGCGAACGCCCACAACACTAAAAATAGATGTGAGTCATTACTAGATTTCATTCTAGAAAACAAACTTAGTATTATAAATGTAGGCAACCTTAGTAACAAAAAGCAGAGATGAAGATTTGGATATATATATAACCCTGACTTCTGACCTATTTGCCAAAAACGTAAAGGGACGGAAAGTCTTGAATGAGAAGTCCTACTCTGACTATCGTTATTTGAATATGACATAGTTCTTAGTCAGTAACTTGGTGAGTTTACAATAACAAACTAAGGGATTCACTGCCTTACCCAGGTACCCACAAAAGCGTCTGGACCTGGATGTATAATGCAGAGGCAAAACAAAAAACCTTCGTGGACAAAGCAATAATCCCCGTTACGTGAATCTAACAGGACACGGTTTGAAGACTGGTTAGCCTACAAGGCTGACTCGAAAAGATACAAAAGTAGTTAAAACTGCAAAACGTAAATCCGGGCAAAACTATTTGCAAGGGAATAATAGACCCAACGGAAGCGGCCAGACTAAGAAGAATCACACTCTATAAGTCACTCATCATGCCTGTACTGAGGTATGGCGCGGAGGTACAGACAATGAAAACATCTGATGAAGCGGCTCTTGGAGTTTTCGATAGAAAGCTTCTGGGCAAGATTTATGGGCCTTTGCGCGGTGGGGATGGCTAATATCGCAGACGATTTAATGATGAGCTGTATGAGATTCATAACGATGTAGACGTAGTGCAGCCAACTAAAATTCAGCGACTCCGCTGGCTATGGACGGAAACGCTCCTGCTCCAAAAGTATTCAACGCGGGCCGCGATTCTTGTAACAGAGGAAGAGGAAGGCCTCCTCTGCGTTAGAAGGACCCGTTGGTGAAGGACTTGGCTTCACTTGGCAGAAGGGAAATGACTGGCCTGCTGTTTTGGACTCGGCCAAAATCTCTTAGGCGTTTACAGCGCCAACAAATAAGAAGTAGAAGCATCGCATTCATTATAAGAAGCTGTCTTTATACGGGATTTATTCCGCTAAGCTGGAGTGAGACAAAAGTCTGATTCATGCCCAAGGCAGACTAATTAGTCTCACGTCTTTCCACCTCAGGATAGGGGATGAATAATTACGGGACGTGATACTAACAAGGCGGCTCTCCCCAGCGCAGCATGCCCAAATGAAAGGAAAATCTATGGAATCCGCTTTAAACTCATTTATCGAGTTTATTTAAAAGAGCTTATCAGATAGGATAATGCTTTAGTTGCTTTTTTAGACATATAAGACAACAACATTATTCAGGCGGCATTACGTTTGCTTAAGAAGATTTTGGTGTGGACCCTATCGTGGTTGCTCTGATTGAGACTTTACTCGCTTATGCTGACGACCTGGCAAATGCCGTTAAAGGCAAATTCCCAAATACCTTAATGATCATTCTGCGCTCTAATATAGCCACGCTTAGAACCTGAACAAAGAGTAGGGAACTCGGAACAAACCCCGATAAAACTGCAGTAATGCTCTTCACAAGGAATCATCGGCTTTCTATAGTCTCCCAGATAAATTTCAAAGGTTTGGAGATTCCATCGAAGAAGAATTTTAAATATGTAGGATTAATGTTATACAGAACAGCTGACGTGGAAGCCGAATATAGAGGAAAGATTTAAGAAGACCAACGTTGCATTCCATGGAGATTAACGCCCTGTATTACATATTTTCTTTGCATTTCTGTATTAGTTCTGTATTGTGACCATCAGCTCAAAATAAAAGTTACCTAAAACTCCTTAGCTAACAGAGAGCAAGAAGTGCTTACGAATTTTCCTGCAGTAAATCTGGTAGGAACACACGTGGCCGCCGCTTNCAGTTCTGTATTAGTTCTGTATTGTGACCATCAGCTCAAAATAAAAGTTACCTAAAACTCCTTAGCTAACAGAGAGCAAGAAGTGCCTACGAATTTTCCTGCAGTAAATCTGGTAGGAACACACGTGGCCGCCGCTTCGGCGCTTAGACTAAAAAGTATTCCGCTGTAGAAAGATCGACAGTTAGGCCACGCTTCTATACTTCATGGGTAGTTACAACCAAGAAATCGACTAATCCGCCCTGAAACCCACCACGTAAAGAAGACAAAGGGCAAGAAAATGGAGAAGGGTGAAAATAAATTTTTATGCGGATAAATCCAAGCTAGACAATAGGGTTGGGTACGGAGTTTTTTCTAAATAATTAATACTGGAATTATCCGTCCGAATTCCGGACCACTGAAGCTTTTAAGAGGCAGAAGTTCTACATAGCTTTAAAAGAGGTAGCTGTGTGCCTAATACACATGTCGCAACGAAGACCAAGATTAATATCTTCTCCGATAGCTAGGCGGCCATCAAATCAATGAACGCGGTAGTGTTAACATCAGAAGCTGCACCGGAGTAACTGGCAGCTCTAAATGATATAAACACCGTCTTCAAGGTCAGTATCATGTTGGTTCCGGAACATGGCGATATTGAAGGAAATCGCAGTGCCGATGAGTTAGCCAGGAAAGGTTCCCATCTTCCACTGTGCCAAAAACCGAGGTAAGGTAACCATGGCAACCTGCAAGTTAAAGGTTTAGTCATGGGTATACAAGTGCACTTGTACAATAATTAGGCTACAATGACCGCAAATTGATATAAAAAACGGACCCGTCATTGACTATTTGGTAGCCATGCTTCGAGTCTAGGAATACTCTTCCAGAGCGGGCTTTCTAGGTGGGCTCAATTTTAACTCTCTTACGGAGCTATCCGGTGCAGGAGTAAATCCAATCCTACGCTTCATAAGAACATCAAAATGGTTTGATCACAATGGACCTGTAAAGTCCAAATGAGTTCGCCATTGGATATCTTACGTGAAATCTTATGATGCTTCCATAAACGAAAAGTGGAAGGAAAAATTTCGAATACCGGTAACAAGGGAAACTGTACAGCAAATCAAAGCAGCAAATGTGGTGCAGGCAAGTGACTAAACTGATAGCTTTAGCAAATAGAATGCCATTGAAACTGCAACGTGTGTTATGTGTTGCTGCCCCACCTCTAGTTGCACATTTGCCAAGTGAAAAGCGCAAATGTCAACAACACTTTTCGTCACGTGCGCGTCGTTACGGCACGGCATGGCACGACACGAGACGGCAACATGCCAAGGACTCAATGGCGACAGCTCAAGAAAGAGATTTCATAAAAAAATATATATATAAAAAAATAGATAAGGGAAGGAAAAAAATTAGCGTAAACTGCTATCATAGCAGCAACCAGGCAGGCAAGCAGGCAACAGACAACAGCAATGAAGGATACGACGCATATCCTCGCCGGCGACCGCAGCAGCGGGATCATCAGAGCTAGAAATAGCAGTTAGTCGCGAGTCGTAACAGCCCTCCGGCGATGAAATTGCTGCTGTGAATGATAAGACAGCGCGTATCAAAGATCAACGTCGCCCCTGCTAGAGATTGTGGTAAACGGGTGGCGGATGAAAGAATAACCAACTGCAACAAAACCGACAGTTGCAATGACTGTGGCAATACCAGTGTCTGTTAAGAGCTGCTGCATTTGAGTATTTGAGCTTGAACTCCGGAAATTTCTATCAAAATATTTGATTAAGAAAATGCAACGAACACAAATTGCTACAAAAGGACATTTCGGTGACGAGCTGTCAAAGGAGTGAGTAGCGAAAACAATTGGCGTCGAAAATGTTGCTGGAGTGTTGCTTGAATTTATATTATGTACTTATGTATGTATAGGTACATATGTATGTACGTTCGCTTGCTCTCGTCACGAAGTCATGCTTCTAAGGGAGTTTGTTTTTGCAATGCTGCCGCCACAGCATCTGCACACAAAGAAATGTTAGCAACTAGTTATTGTAAGGATATAACGTTATGCATATGGCTGTGCGTTTGCGTGCACTTCTCGGCATGCTGTGTCTGTTTTGTTTGGCAAACAATTGTCGCCGGTTGAAATTGATAGATGAATTTGGAAATTGCAATATTTTGACAATTGACTTCCATAATATCGAAATCGTGCTTGAAGTACAGATGCCCGCATGGCGTTGAGCCGGCAGTGCCGCAGGACGTGTCTGAAATCGTTTTATCTGTGTAAACATTTTGTGAGATAGAATTGATTTGAGGACATTTTCCAGAATATTATAAGGTTACTAGGATTATTAATTTTATTGCGGTGGGAATCAGGCGATATTAAAATAAGGTATGTTCTTAAAGTTAGTATTCCAGGGTTAACTTATTATGACTACCCGGGCGGACCTTTAAATCCGTCACAGAAGGAGTTCCTCCGATAAAAACACCTACAAAGAACTTAAGACGATATATCTATCAAGTTCTTTTCCACCTAGTATTTCTAACACAGAAGAGGCCTACATTTTTCTCGCGCTGACACCAGCGAGATCCGCGTTCAATATTTTGAAAGCTCAAACAGTCAACGACGTAACGTAGACGTAGGTTGACGCAGACACGATCTACCTTATGGGATTCGCGTGTTAACGAAAACTCACCACCGCATGGCGGTGACATTGCCGTTGCTTCTCTCTCGCTCTATCAACAGTAAATATGATATGCTGCTACGTACGTCAACCTACGTTTGCGCTACGTCGTTGACTAACTGCGCTTTGAGGGTTGCAGTCTTTGTTTCCATTCGTGCAGCAAATATTTTGAACAATTTCTCTTTTTTTATTTTCAGTTTTATATGATTTTAGGATGCTTGAAAACGTCACAAAAATAATCATGGCCGACGAACTGAGAGAAAGATCTTACGTTGTAATTTTTTTATCATGGAAGTAAGCTTTTATACCCGAGAACAAATGTGCACAAGCGTATTATAACTTTGTTCAAATAACGGTTCTTTGTAACAGCTAAAACGAATCGATATAGATATAGACAAATGTAAACATATATGATTAGAATAGAAAAAAGAAGTCGATTGAGCCATGTCTGTTTGTCCGTCTGCTGTGCGAGCGGGCGAAAATCTAAAATTTTGTTGTCCCAACTATAGACGTGCCTGGTATTGTTGGAAAGGTAACTAGTTTATCCATTACCAAGGCCCCGGTTCCAATTTCTGTATAAAATGAACTAATGATACATAGCAAAACGGCCTTCGAATTTGACGCATTTTAAACCAAATATTTTAGTCAGAGCCACATCAGACTTATAAAGTGGTAAGTTTAATTTTTAATTCTTTGGTTTAAAATTGTTTAAGATAACAGCAAAAATTTATTTGTTAACAAATTTTGTATTTTAGACTCGATATGTTTGAAATGCAAATTTATTTAGTTGAAAACAAAAATATTGCTAAAGTTTAAAGAAGTAAATCTAAAAGCCTGAAAAATCATGTTTTTCCATTCCATGAATAAAAAAAATCAAAAAGGCCATACTTTTGTCTGTTGAAAAAAAAGCTACTATTTTCACTTTGCAAAATAATTTGCTTTTAGTAAGGGTGTGCAAAACCTTATTCCCATAAAAAAATTTGAAGTGAAACTACCTTGTTTTTCTTCATGGTAAATACTAATCAAACAACTAAAATTTACTACTATGAATAGTTACATCATCACTTTATATTACTGAAATGTGAAAAAAGGAAAGGAAAATATAAAAAAGTGTACTAAAGAAGTATT